TATACTGCATTGTATTGTTGGACTGCAGTGTACTGCATTGCATTGTTGGACTGCAGTATACTGCATTGTATTGTTGGACTGCAGTATACTGCATTGCATTGTTGGACTGCAGTATACTGCATTGTATTGTTGGACTGAAGTATACTGCATTGTATTGTTGGACTGCAGTATACTGCATTGTATTGTTAGACTGCAGTATACTGCATTGTATTGTTGGACTGCAGTATACTGCATTACATTGTTGGACTGCAGTATACTGCATTGTATTGTTGGACTGCAGCATACTGCATTGTATTGTTGGACTGCAGTATAATGCATGGCAATATAACCTAAAATAAAAAACCCACATGTACCTGCTTACCTATTTTTTTAGCCAATTACTGAAAAAACAAAATTTATTTTGTTTGGCCTAATGTGGGTGCATAGCCAATCAAAAAGCACTCTTACACAAATTTAGTCACAATGAAGGATTTTGATTGGCTGCAGAATATATCATTTACAAGCAGCTCAATTTGATTAAAACTTGCTAAAAAGGAATAACTTCTGACATCTTGTGTAAATCCCTAACATTTAACGCAGAGACTTGTATTTATCACATGTAGTTGTTACACACTGCCGCCATAAATTTGCAGCAACATGACACTTGAAGACTTTTAATAATCAGATCTCACAAACATTGCATTACTCTGTCATGGGTGGAAAATACTGTATTTACGAGGATCAGAACAAATTCTGTGAATTTACCTGAGCTGTGATTGATCTTATTTACTGAATAATGACTTTCCGATTGGCATTTCTTTGAAAATAACATGAAGAAGCATTAGTTTCCTATATAAAAAAAATTTCACAGAAAAAACTTTCAAAATGGAAAGATGCTGCACATTTTTGAACCACCCGCTTCTTTGAAATTTGCGAAATTTGTCTTTCATGGAATAAACCAGTCTACAATTATACCTCGTATTTTACAATATTATTTGTGATAATCTGCAAAATTTGAGTTTTAATGAACATTGAGTACCAAAGCTATGATAACAACACATGCTAAAAGGCTCATGGGTAGACGCTTGCTTGTAAACAATGACACGCTATGGCCTTTTGACGACGAATCCCCCGCTTTAAACCATAATAATTGTTTTTTTTAACAACTAATTTATCACATCAAGATAATATAAATCATGAAAAACTAAACATTTTGATGTGGCATGAAAGGTGATGACAATATATTTGGTATTCAGGTTAATGTCCTTATTACATATATTACTATTAGAACTGCTCGGTAAATATACAGCTTAAAGATAAATGTTACTTGACATCCCAGCACAAAGAAACAATGCTTTAAATTAACAATAAAATCGCATTGACACATTCTTTTGTTTTTATAGATTTTTATAAATTTTAATGGCAGTCGAATCTTATATATCAATAAGCACAATTTATTATTCTTTTATTAACTTAATATATATAATGAATTTTGTAAAATATCACCCAATGTAAAATTATTTACAAGGCAATAAAGTTATTAAAAATTATGTATGTATTTTTTTATTATAAATACATTTTTGTAAATTTCTGATCAATGATTGTCGTTCTGGCTCATGCACCATATATGGGTCTGATACGACATTCCCAATGCGCATTAATACATTGTTTGTAGTAAATAAATGCATCATGGTATATGATCCATTATCGGTTTTCCAAGAAATCGCACAAAATTAAAAGTGACGTAAACCTTAAAATCCATAGATCTCCATTCCAAACAACAATGGGAAGAAATCAGGAAAAGGAAATAGAATCTTTTATACCTGGAAATTAATTTCAGTTGGTTTTCTATACAGCATTCTCTAACTGTCACTTGGCATCACCTGGTAAAGGTTTATGTAACATATATATCATAATGGCTGAGATAACTATGTACAGTGTTTACATAAGACAGGATGGTCTCTGTAACAGTTATTATTTGTTGCTATTCAATGCATAGTCTGTTTTGAAAGTAATATGGTAACATGTGGGACTTGAGTGAAAAAAGTACAACACAAAAGACAAAATGTAAAATTAGACGCAAAAAGAATGTCGGGAACATCAGCCACCTTGTATATTAAATATTAGTAGTGAATTAAACTAATAATATTTTCTATTACTTCGACAGTAGCAGACAAAAGCGATGAACGCCAGAGATTTATTTACACAAATGCATGGATGGTTGATTCCCAGTTTGAAAGTCATAAACCATGCATTACTGAACATATTCGTTTTTCCTGCCAAAATTCTTGTGCTACATTTCTAGTTATTTTTCTACAATATTAATGTTAATTTTGGACAAAAAAAATTTTATTTTCCATAAGCTACAAATTTTTGAAAAATTACAAAAATAGTTTGAAATAAGTTTTGTATCTCACTCTTCATTGATAACTTGATTATGTAGTGATTAACTTGATGATCAATTATTTGATTAGTTGATTGATTTGTTAATTATTTTTATTTATTAATTAATTTATTTATTAATCATATATATAAATATTTTAGTTGCACCACCACTTTTGAAGATCATTATTCATTTCTACCATACATCAGGCAGTTGAAGTGACCAGCACCACTTGTGTTAATTTCTACTTTCCTGTCATGTTACATTCACATTTTCTTAAATATGAAGCGTATTTATTTTTCTTTCTTTTGTATTTATATATAAGTAATGTAGTTTGGCAATAAAAAAGAATCCACTTGATTCAGTAATCAGTGAATCATATAACATTATTTGACAGTAAATTCCCACATCAAATCTTAGTGTATTTCACAATCATATGGACCATCCATCCTGAAGTACGAGTACTGTGCTCACCTCCGATGCCTCAGATCTCTGCCCTCTACTTACTCATGGATAACATGTATGATCACATGACAATGGTGCATATCATTCACAGCTGTGATGTTTAGTGTGAAATATCACTATCTAATATAGTACACACCAATAAATGGCAAGGGTGCCAGCACACCAGTGTATGGCAAGCGTGCCAGCACACCAGTATATGGCAAGGGTGCCAGCACACCAGTAAATGGCAAGGGTGCCAGCACACCAGTGTATGGCAAGGGTGCCAGCACACCCAATGTATGGCAAGGGTGCCAGCACATCAGTGTATGTCAAGTGAGCCAGCACACCAGTGTATGTCAAGTGAGCCAGCACAGTGTATGGAATGCATGCCAGCACACCAGTAAATGGCAAGGGTGCCAGCACACCAGTGTATGGCAAGGGTGCCAACACACCAGTGTATGGCAAGGGTGCCAGCACACCAGTATATGGCAAGGGTGCCAGTACACCAGTGTATGGCAAGGGTGCCAGCACAGTGTATGGAATGCGTGCCAGCACACCAGTATGTGGCAAGGGTGCCAGCACACCAGTATATGGCAAGGGTGCCAGCACACTAGTGTATGGCAAGCGTGCCAGCACACAGTGTATGGAATGCGTGCCAGCACACCAGTATGTGGAATGCGTGCCAGCACACCAGTATGTGGCAAGGGTGCCAGCACACCAGTGTATGTCAAGGGTGCCAGCACACAGTGTATGTCAAGGGTGCCAGCACACCAGTGTATGTCAAGGGTGCCAGCACACCAGTGTATGTCAAGGGTGCCAGCACACCAGTGTATGTCAAGGGTGCCAGCACACCAGTGTATGTCAAGGGTGCCAGCACACCAGTGTATGTCAAGCGTGCCAGCACACAGTGTATGTCAAGGGTGCCAGCACACAGTGTATGTCAAGGGTGCCAGCACACCAGTGTATGTCAAGGGTGCCAGCACACCAGTGTATGTCAAGGGTGCCAGCACACCAGTGTATGTCAAGGGTGCCAGCACACCAGTGTATGTCAAGGGTGCCAGCACACCAGTGTATGGCAAGCGA